TACTACTTCAATTACCGAAATGTTGTCACCTTCCACAAATTTTTAGCATTTTGAAAAAGAGCTACTTGGTTGTGTACAAACTACTGGAACAAAACATCTAAGTCTTAAAACTGTGTTATTATTGAAGTCGCAAATTAGATGTCAAATACACCAAATTATTCGTTTTCAAAAATGCTCCTTTAGAAATGAATTCTCAATCTTATTTCAGCTGACTGGTACGGTAATACTATGTCACCTAATTAACATTTGCACCAGATGACCATTATGAAAAATTAATTATTGTAACACTAATTTCAAATATTGTTTGGACTTTTTAACCAACAAATTTTTAATTAAGATCTTCCCCTCCCTCCCAGTCAATGGTGTCCCGCCTTATCAATGTTAAAATCTGGTCATCTTACCTTGTTCCCAAATGATGGATTTGACTACAGGCAGACGGAGAGATAGGCACAGAACAATTTGTTCTTTGATCTATGAAACATGAAATACGAGTGGAGATTTTCGATTTTGACGTCAAAATATTTGTTACAGTCCTCGCATGAATGTATAGTTTCTCCAACTTCGGTGATGAAAGGCTTAAGTGAAAAATATACAATGTTAAATGCTTAGAAGTAGTATTAAAACATCCTGAAACCTCTTTGTTGATTATTCCCTCTCAAAATAATTTTTTTTTTTTTTTTTTTTTTTTTGACTTGATTCTTCAACTCACACCTGTCAGAAGTTCCGACAATCAGCGAGTGTGATGTCAAGATGAAGAGATTGGTCTTGGAATAGGCGTGAGGGAGAGGAGTACCCAGCGGCGTCCTTCCTGTCTTGAGCGTAATATTTCTAGTTAGTGGAGGAGATCCCTCATCCAGCTTCTTTTAAGCCTCCTTCGGGTGCTATCGGGCATGTTAGTTGTGGCCATGCCTCGAATCAATGAGTTTGTATGTCCATGTAAGTTATTATGAAATCGTTTGTAGTATGTTCGTATGTGGTCGTTAACTGTTGGCATCTGTAAGTCTTTATGTAGAGTAATGTTACTGACGTACCAGGGAGCTTTGGTAATAGTCCTGAAAGTTTTAGATTGAAAAGTCTGTAATTTACGTATGTGAGTCTTTTTGGCTGTCCCATATATCTGTAAAGCGTAGGTCCAAATAGGCTTGAGTAGGTAAGTATATGTATTCAATTTCTGTCTAAGTTTTAATTTAGAATTTCTTGCAAGGAGTGAGTACAGTAGGCGTAGTCTTAGGTTTAAAGTTTTTGTTTTGTTTTTGATATGTTGGCCCCATGTCATTCTTCTGTCAAAGGTCAGTCCAAGATATTGAACTTTGTCTGTCTGAGGAATTTGGATATTGTCAAGGTAAATAGGGGGGCAAGTTTCACGTCGAAGGGTAAAAGTGATATGTTGTGATTTGTCAAGGTTGAGTCGAATTTTCCAGAGTTTGCACCAGTCGTAGAAATTGTTTAGGTGATATTGTAAAGTCTGTGAGGCGTATGCTGAATTTTGATGTCTTGTCAAGATTGTTGTATCGTCTGCGTAAGTCGCGGTCAGAGTATAGAGAGGATCTGGAATATCATATGTGTAAATAATATACAACAGAGGAGCGAGTACTGACCCCTGAGGCACCCCTGCTAGGGCTGGTTTAATGGTAGATAGTTCTGTACCTTGGCAAACAGAGAAAAATCTGTCAGAAAGAAAAGATTGAAGAATAAGATAGTAGGTTGGAGGGAGTATAGTCTTAAGTTTGAAAAGAAGTCCCTGATGCCAGACTCTATCGAACGCTTGAGCAACATCCAGAAATACTCCTGTTGCATATAATTTGTGCTCTAGTGCTGTCGCAATGTAGTCTGTCACTCGGTGTAGCTGATGAATGGTTGAGTGGTGTGAACGAAATCCAAACTGATGTTCAGGTATTATGTTTTCAGTAGTCAGTATGTCAAGAAGTCGTTTGTAGAGAAGTTTCTCAAAGATTTTAGAGCATAATGGGAGCAAGCTGATGGGTCTGTATGATGAAGGAAGGTCAGTGTTTTTGTTAGGTTTGTGAATCATTTTTATGAATGAGTATTTCCATTGTAAGGGGAATTTAGTCGTTCTGAGTATTGCGTTATAAATTGATGTTAGGTATACTAGAGCTTTCCTTGGCATTTTCTGGAGCACTTGAGCATTTATCAGGTCATGACCGGGAGCTTTCTTTTTAGGTAACTGTCTGATTTGCTCTGCAACTTGAGTGGGAGTGAAGCAAAGTGGAGGTAATGACAGTTGTAAAGGAATGTCTAAAGTGTTTTGTACATGTCTTTCGTGATCAGTATTAGAGAAGTCAGTATGTGGTATGAAAACAGAAGAAAGATGGTTGGCAAAGAGCTCAGATTTTTCAAGGTCTGACACAGCCCAGGAACCATCTATGTTTCGGAGTGGTGATGACACCTCACAATGCTTTACAAGTTTCTTAGTCTGTCTCCATAAGCTTCCATCGTCAGTCGAAAGATTTTTGAGGTAATTGTCGTAGTTCGTTCTTTTAAAATTCTGAATCTGTCGTTTAAGTTCATTGTTAAGTCTATTGAAAGTCCGTTTGTCAGATGGAAGTCGACCAGTCTGCCACACTTTGCGCGCTCTTCTCTTTGCTCTGATCAGGTCTCTAATGTACTGCGGATAGATTGGAAGAGACGTATTTCTGCTAGGTCTTGGTACAGATGATGACCATACAGCCTGTTGTAAGCTGATTGTGAACTTATCAACAGCTTTTTCGAGTTCCTCTTCGGTCTTAAGGGACATTGGGATTGATAGCGTCGAATTTAAGTAGTCGCTGTAAGCTTTCCAATCGATTATCCTATCTGTAAGTGTTGGTTTTTTTGATGCAGTACGAGGCTCATCGCATAGTACCAAACTGAGAAGAGAATGATCAGAACAAAGATCAGAGCTTGCAGTTACAGTATACGGCACTGTCCTGAGTCCTTTAGTAATGAAAAAGTCAAGTAAATCTGGTGTTTTCTGTCTTGAAGTTGGCCAGTAAGTAGGTGTATCAGGTGAGATCGTGTTTAATGAAAGCTGATCGATGGCAGACTTTAGATTTCTTCCTCTAGGAGTACAGAGTCGTGCTCCCCAGGACTGATGTTTGGCATTATAATCACCACCTGCAATAAAACACCGACCGAGATGTTGGAAAAAATTGTAAAACATTGCAGATGTTAGCACGTATCTCGGAGGGCAGTACACTGCAGCGAAGGTAATGGTATGGTGCTGGGTATACAGAGTAATTGCTGTGGATTGTATGTCAGGTGTAATGGGTAATTGTAAAGGGTTGTGTTTTAGTGATTGCTTAATCAGTATTGCCGTACCGCCATGTGCCGTCTTATCAGGGTGGTCAGTTCTATATATTTTGTAGCCTGGAATGTAAAATTTAGAATGTGGAGTCAAGTGTGTTTCAGTGATGAGAGCAATGTCAGTCCGTTTTTCATGTATGTACATGTCAAGTTCAGTCCTGTGTTGGTTTATACCATTTGCGTTCCAGAGAAGAACGGACATGGAGCCCACTGTCAGCAGATTAGTAGCCATAACTGGAGGATAAGGCTTGTGCAACGTGAGACAGTTCTTGGAGAAGGCTGAAAAGAGGCTGGATGAGGTTATTCAATCCACTTACCAAGTTGAAGAGCTGAGCTGAAGCCGGGTGATTGTAAGTTGGTAGTGGCGGTTGAGTAATGCCCTTTTTCATTTCTGGATGCTTTGGCTGGTGAAGGTGATTTTCTGGGACTTCTGTAGGAGAAGTTCGCAGTTTTGGTCCTAGATATTGGGAATCGGGTTTTGAAGAACCTGAATTTGCGGTATGCTGACTTTGTGGAAGAGAAGGAAACTCGTCTATACCTGGGGGTGCGCTAGTTTGTGCTTTTTGGGGACTTTGTATATTTTTACGGAGATTGCGTACTTCCCTCAGTTGTTTTAGAGTTGCACAACCTCTATAATTTGCTGGATGGGATCCGCTACAATTCGCGCATGTTGCTGCGGTCTCTCTTGTCTTTGTGCAGACGGTGCTATCATGTCCTTGGCCACATCTCACGCACTTCGGGGAGTGATTGCAATAAGCCTTTGTGTGGCCATACTGCTGACAACGGGTGCACTGTGGAATCATTCTTTTCTTTCTTGGCTCTTCGATTTTCACTCTAGTATAGTATAAAAATTTGATATCAAAAATTTTTTCATTAAATGTGGCTTTAGAGATATCGATAAAGAACATGGGAAGTGGATTTTTGTATCTGGAAATAACGTTCACAATACTTGTGGCATCGTAGCCTAGGCATTTTAATTCGTGTTTTATGGTTTCAATTGGAGTAGCATGGTGTAAGTTTTTTACTACGATTCTTGGATTTCTATCTTCTATTAACTGATAGGTATGGAAATCGGCACCTACCTGTCTTAAGTTAGCTACTATACGTCTATATGTGTCAGAGTTTTCAGGATATACGGTTACTCCTCTTGATGTGGATTTTAGGTTAAAGCTGTTCAAACCTCCTACATTTTGGAGAAATGAGACCAGTTCGGTGTAGTTCTGTACATCATTCAAGTGGATAGGGGGCGGTTTTACAGAAACTGGTTGCTTAGTGGTAGCATCAGACTCGTCACTAATGTTAGTTAAAACTTCAAAACTATTAGTGGTTACTGTTGTAACTTCACTTACCTTTTTAGCTTTTCTTGGGTCTCTGTTATTGTCCATTGAGCGTTTTCTTCCTGTAACGAGTTCCCAATTATTTTCAGTAGTTTGGTTTGAGTTTAAAGCGTCCACATTTTCTGTAGAACTGGCAGATATCGACGTCTCAGACATCGTTTGCGGTGAAACCGCTACACCGAGGTGTGGAGTTCCTATTTCTTGGAGCTAATTGGTTTCAACAACAGAATGCAACAAAAAGAAAAGTTTTCACTGTTAATTTACTCTAAGATTTTGTCAAAAAGATTTTCAAAGAAAAATTAACCTCACTTTTATCAATGTTCACACATGATCCCCCAAATTGCAGTTAGATAACCCTCAAAATAATTTGAACTGTTGTTCTTTTGATAATAAGCAACTGTATTTTTTTTTTCATACGCAAATGTTATGAAAATGTTAGATGAAAATTTAGAATTTGATGTCAAGGCTGTTAGAAAGTTTTTAAAGGAGAAGCTTGTCAGTTCTCCTCCCAATAAACATTATGAGGCATTTGTTGAACTGTTAAGTCTTTTAAAAAGGACAGTTTCAAGTGGGGAAAGTGATTCTGCTCTAATCGTAGGGCCCAGAGGTTGTGGGAAATCATCAGTGAGTTGAGAGTTTTATTTCTAGATGTCTTGACTTTGGTGCAACCAGCTATTCAATATTTTTTTTCTAGCTTTTAGATTCAGTCTTGAAGGAATTGTCTAATTCTGAGGGCAATGAATACTTATTAGTCAAATTAAATGGTTTGGTGCAAACAGATGACAATCTAGCTTTACGCGCTATTATTCAACAATTGCATGTCAAAGAACTAGAAGGAGATCAGATAACTGGATCATTTTCTGGTAAGTTAATATTACATCTATAAGAATTGAGCTAAATTTATTTGCAAAACTTTATTACATAAAATACATTATTTTATCCTTTCTAGATAATTTGATGTTCGTGTTGCAGAGTTTGAAGACATGCGATCGACAAAATACTGTTCCAATTATTTTTATTTTAGATGAATTTCAACTTTTTTGTAACCACAAAAATCAAACATTGCTTTATAATTTGTTTGATATTTCCAAATCAGCTCAGGTTTGTGGCTGAGATGTTGCCAATAACTATTATTGTTTCTAAATCACAAATATCCCATTTGGTTGACAGGAGGGTCAAGATCACATAGATTACATTTCTAAATTCTGAATTCACTCAATGAAGGAAAAGTTCTGAAGTCACTGAAGTGTTACAGCTATGTTCATGGGTGGGCTAACCACACTCTTTAAAGGTATAAATAATCTCCTCCCTCCAATTGGTTCTTAAATTCAGGTTTGGGGCCTCAGTTCAGATCGGTAAATGTATACTTTCAGACATAATAAGTTACTGTTGGTTTTCTATGAACAGTATGATGAATGTTATCTTGACCAACCAGACATATCATTTGTGAACTAACAATTTATTATATTTTAGTATAAATAATACATCTGCCTTATTTTTATAGGCTCCAATGTGTGTTATTGGTGTAACGACAAGATATGATATAACCGAGTTACTTGAAAAAAGAGTTAGCTCTCGTTTTTCACACAGACAAATTTTATTAATGCCAAACTATGATCTAAATGAAAGAATGTCTCTTATTTCTTATTATTTTCTATTAAAAAAAAAATCTCCAGCTCTTCGTAAAGTCAGCCAGGAATTCATTAAAAAATGGGATGAAAATACTGAAACTCTTCTCAATTCTTCTAAAGTAATGGGATATTTTAGAAAGCAGTTGGATATGGAACCAAGTTTGAAAGCATTAAAAAATGTTTTGGTAATTAAAGTTTTTAAAATAAAAATTTGGTATTTCATAAAAATGATATAATTATTATTTTTTTCTTTATAGTTTTCACTCTTAAGTGGTATCTCTTTATCTAATCCATTTCTGTCTATATCAAATTTTGATGAAGTGTTCCAGAAGTATTCTATTGATGGAAAAGTTGAATATCTTAAAGATCTCTCAGCATTAGAACTGTGTTTGGTAAATTAATAATGTTTTAGATTCATGATGAAGTTTTGATGTTTTGTTTATTATACTTTGTTTTATATGGTGTAGGTAGTTTCAATGGCTCATCATGTGGAAATATATGAAGGAGAACCATTCAATTTTGAAATGATCATTAAGAGGTACTTAAAATTTGCACAACAAAATTCATCTGTTCAGATCACTCATCGTCCTATATTAATTAAAGCTTTGGAAAGAATCAAGGTACTACATGGTATTTATTAATTTCCTTTTAGTGTTTTAAATAACTATTTAATGGTTTTATTTCTATGATATCTATATACAGATGCCGTGGTGGTTGAAAGAGTTAAGGATTGTGCATTAATACACTCAACATATAGAGGCTTTTTGTTTTGATTTTTATCGAAACCGAAAAGTCATGAGTTCAAATCCCATTCACGGAAACAAAAAGATAAAAATAATAATAATTATTAATAAATAAACATCAAAATAAAAATAAATAAGTGCAGGCACTACCCGATTACTTAGACCACAATGGTGTGGGTCGATTGCAGCATGGGGAAGGTGACATCCCTACCAAGGGATTCACAGGGAGGTGAGTGACTCCTGTGTTTTACACAATAGCTCCTGTTCCTCCAGATAGGGGATTGGGCATAGGGCTAGTAACCTTATCCCATAAAAAACATCTTATAACAAAACCAAAACAAACCTCAGAAAATCGGACTGTCTAAGATACATGCAGATAACTGGAAATAAATAGCTCAGATAGGCAGAGATGGAGTAGGTTTTTTAATGCGGACAAAAGATCTATAAGGTCTCTAATGGCATCAGAAAAAAAAAAATAATAAAAAGGTAATAGTAATGGCTCTAGAAAGTCTGGGAGAGATCGGGTCCTCTGTGATGGGATTTTCCCATTTTTTACCAGTGAAAGAGGACATATGGCAAGCTTTACCAGTCTTTTATATTATCAAACATCAAATATGGTGAACGTTTTCACCATAAGGAATATGAAGTTGAAACTCAATGAATATAATATAAAGTACATTGTGGACTCTAAATCCACTTTTGTCAGCATAAAAAGCAAAACAAAGAACATGAAGTAATCTAAGAAAGTAATCTAGCTCTTATAGTTTCTCCAATTTACTCTTGGTCCTAAAATTTCAGGCATACTATTTTATGTATTATAGGCATAATACTTTCTATGACTTTGGTTTTGCCAGTTATGATATCAGTTTTATTTTTTATGAATATTTGACTTCACAAAATTTTTTAAGGTTTGGCTACTGTTAAGCCAAGAAAAGAAAACAGTTGAAAGTAAGTCCTAAATTGGATTTTATTTTATGCTTTGAATGCTTTTCTCTACAATGAACTTCATTTGTAATAAGCCAATAATTATTTCTTCAAAAAGATATTTCACTTTTTTGATAAATTGAGGATGATGTAGCTTTCTTAGATACCTATCACAGGTTTTTAATGTGTGGAAGCATTGTGATTTTTTACTAATCATTTATGAAAAGTATGAAATATCTCTCGGACACCTTTTAGAATGTCCAACAGTTCTCTTATCTGACATCTCAAATTATAGTATTCTCCAGCAGCTGTTAACCGATGCTATTTTGGCCTACTTAAGCACGTGAGAAGTTCACTACTTAGTAGAAGCACGAAGCTCCAGCTCTATAAAATGCTCATCTGTTCAATTCTTACATATGGTAACCAAACATGGACCTTAACCAAAAATGAAGAAAAAGCCCTTTTGGTCTTTGAAAGGAAAAACTTAGAAGAATATTTGGCCCTGTAAAGGAGGGACTGGATTGGAGAATTAGAAAGAATAGAGAGGTCTATGAATTGTTTAATGAACCTAATGTGGCCATAATAATAAAATTAGGAAGGTTGAGTTTGACAACATAGCTCGGATGGAGAGGTCTGGAATCCCGATGCTCGAGGAGCCATTAAACTACACGAGGAGAGCTGGCAGACTGAGATGGTGTGGCAGGTGATGTGAGAAATCTGTTGGGAGTCAGAAACTGGAAAGTGGCCGCACAGAACAGAGAAATCTGGCATAAGCTCATGGATGATGCTAGGACCCACTGAGGGTTGTAGAGCTATTAAGATAGATTTATGTAAAGAGCAATAAATGGTATGTATTCAGCCTTCATGAACCCTGCAGCTGCTGATCCTTACTTTAATATCTCCACAGGCAATGAACTAATTAAAAAGTTTCTTTTAATGTATTTACAATATCCTTTATTGTATAAATGTTTTTGATAACTACAAATAATTTGTTTTCTTTTATTCTTTAAAACTTTCGAGTAACTCATTGTTTCAGGAATTAGAGTTGATAATACCAGTTTCTAACTCAAATAGAAATCAAAAGAAGGAATATGTATTATATAACTTGATTGTTACTAAATCACAAGTGCGTGCTGCAGTCAGTACTTACAATGGTCTCCCCACAGAAATTTCTCATTGGGCGTTGGGAAATGTAGTTTAATTAATTTATAATTGGTAGATTTTTATATCTATTATTGAAACTATGAACAATATTATTTATTTTAATTTGATTGTAAATATCTAATCTATACAATTAATGAAACTGTATATTGCATAGTATAATAAAAAATATTTAAAAGTTGACAGAAATTTATTTAGAACAGGCTCCTAAACTTTTCACTCATTTTGTAAAAAAATTAATATATTATGGCATAAACAAGTTGTTGCGTTATCATGTAAGGCCATAAGGGAAATTGTATGATTATATGTTCCATAGATTTTTTTTTAATCAATTGAGTACGTTTTATATGGATCTTGCTTATCCAGATAACAGGATTAGATTAAGGGATATGAGTTGAGATGTTATTGGCCTGAAGAAATGTAAAAAAAAGAAATAAAAAAAAAAAAAGATGGTTCTTAATTTGAGGTTTTGAAATAATATACATCCCAGGAAAGTCACTTGAGAAGTGTAGATACATTTATTTTTTAAAGACTTTTCTGTTTCACAGAAAATGAACGTAGAAGCATTTGCCTTAATTAAGCAGAATACATTATAAATATTTAACATAATTATAAATAATTAACTATGAACAATAAATTCAAATATAATTACAATGAAATTAACTTCAAAAGTATCACATTAATAGAGTGAGGTAATCTTAACACCAATCTTTCCATCCAATTCTTTATTTCTTCAACAAAAAATACAAATACAAAAAACAATTCAATCACTATTTAAACCATCATAAAGAAACATCCCTAATACTTAAATAGAAAAAAAAGGGAATAAAAGAAATAATTTATTTTACAATATCCTAAATGGAATCTACTTAAACTTAATAATAAATTATCACAATGAAATATCTTTAACAGATTGTATAAAAAAACAAAAAAAAAAAAACTAATGTATAATTCTTCTCTACTCTTACTTTTTAAATAGTTATATAGTAATACTTTTACAAAACACAACGTATATTTATGGAATGCTCAGTCATGATGAGAGGCGACTACCATTCAGCAAGGTTATTTGACTTATGCATTTCAACACATCGAAGCTATGCAGTGTAGAGAATAACATAGATAAATAAGTCTCGATTGTAAAACTCAATAAATGTCTCATTTAAGTCGAACAACTACAAAACATTCTACTCTAAAATAAAATAAGAAAAAAAAAACAAATACTATAAAAGAAATTAATGGAGTATTCAACAACAATTAAATATACATATTAACAAATTAATCATAATCGAATTAAATTAAAAAAAAAAGAAAAGAAAGAAGAAAACATGAAAGAACTACAGTCTTTAACAGTGCTACAATTTATCAAGCAGCCTTTAGAAACAGCATACAATTTTAAAATAAAATCGTAGTTTCTATAACAAGAGTTGTATCATCATTTATAAAAACTATGGTAACAATAAAAATGCTTATAATGCAACAGCCACATTCAGCTAGCTTTTAGCTTGACTAGAGAGTTCTTCATCGATGCTCATTATTGGTTCCCTCCAGTAGACGAATTGAGAGAAATCTTCGCTAGAAAACGTAGGTTTATTAGGAGGGAACATCTGGTCTACCAACTGCGACATATTTGTATACCTAAAAATAGAATTATAATTAATTTAAAATCCAATAGAAAAAGGGATAAATAAAAATAGTTGGTCCTTGCGAATAATACACATGATATAGTAAATCAGTGACCAAATGGATACGTAAATGCTATAAATTTTGAGATGGATGAATTCATTTTTTTTTCCCATTAATTGTAAAAGTTAATTACTGAAAATAATCAACTTTGTACAAGGCTCAAAAGGCTGTTTGGTAATAATGGTAAAAGATTTAATTTTAGTATTCTATTGTAGGGGATTTAATTTTCTTTCAGATTACCCACTAAGTGTATAAATTTTTTTTTAGATATAAGTAAATAAAGTTTACTTTTCTTGGTAAATTTTTTCCTACTTTTTCTGGGAATGAGTATTTTATTGCATTGACTGATATGGTAATCTTCAAATGATGGCTCAATCATTGGTTTTGATGAAGTATTAAGGAGATAATGGTATACCCAAAAAAAGATGCATTTCAGAAAAATATTACTTATATAGTTCCTATCTTGTACATTTATATACAAAATAAAACTTATTTGATCACCAATATTTGAGAAACTAAAAATATTAAAGGAATTATTACAGTATTTATGACTCTCTTGGTAAAAAAAGAGTGTATTACTGCAATAATTTAAGATTTTTTGATTAAGCTGAATAAATTCACAAAAACCTGTCACTTAAATCTACATATTTTTCTCTAGAAAATGACACTATAAACTAAGATTCTGACAAATATATAGCAGTTGTGGAATGGTACGGAACTGTTGCTTTAAATATAAACGGTTCATTAAAATAAAAGTGAAAAAATTAAAAATATAACGGAACAATTAGTGATATAATTATTTAAATATATATAGTTTTAACTGGTAGGAAATAGATTGGTTAGTTGCAACTAGAAAGAGAAATACATGGAACTAAGGTTGTGAAAATAATTAACATAGAAAGTGTGTTCACAAAATATAAATATGTCCGATTATAATTATCATTATCAAAAGGAAAAGTAAATTGTGTATTTAGAATTACATATTCGGAAAAAATTTCAGTTAAAGATTTTTACTATTCATGAGATCTTTCAGCCATGGTCCCTCAATCCACCAGCAGGAATTTACCTTCAAAAACAAGTATCAGCACGCTCTGACCAAAATTTATTTTAGCTGGGTAACATTAACAGGTGTCTTTGAGAAAATAATTTATATCCATTAATCTTTTTTATTTGTTATCTTTTATCACTACAATTTTTTTAATATTACCGATTATTTTATTTATTTAGGTAAATGAAAGAAACTACTAGAAGCTGTATAATTGGGCTCATCGGATAGGGATTCCAAAAAAGTTAGTGAATCTAGTCAGAATGTGTTTGACGGAAACACTCAATAAAGTTAGAATCAGCTATTATTTATCCGACAGATTTGAGGTTTGTTCGGGCTTAAAACAAGGCGATTCTCTTTCACCTGTCCTATTTAATTTGGCATTAGAACATGCCATTAGAGAGGTGCTTGGGTATGCTGATGATTTGGTACTGTTAAGCGAAGACATGGAAACAATAAAATTAAATACAACAATGTTGATAAAAGCCGGAAAAGAACTAGGACTCGAAATAAATACGGATAAGACTAAATATAAGGTTAGCTGCAAAAACAGCGACAATGTCAATGATATCGATATAGAAGGGAATGTGTTTGAACACATACAGAATTTTAGGTATCTAGAGTCTTCGATAACTGAAAAAAACATAATTCAAGAGGATATTAAGTTTAGGTTGAAGGCGGGAAATGCTTGTTATCAGCGTTAAGGCTGATTTGGCAGGGTTGGGTTTAGATGGAGTCCCGTAGATGGAAGAATGTGGACATCGATTGGTGGTATCGGCATCGAACCTTCGGGTTCGCTAAGTCTTATTATTATTATTATTATAAATGAAAGAAAATGTATGCCAAATTAAATCTGTACTTAGACTTAGTAGTAGTAGTAATAAAAATAGAAGGCTACATACTAACTCTGAATTTAGGCTAAATTAAGCAATTGAGGGTTGGAGGAACTCTTACATACAGAGTATTTACCAATTTCATCTTTCGAACTGAATAGGCTTATTCAGTGAATATAATATGTTTATATTAACTAATTATTTCTAATGCTCTGTCTCAATATACTAATTTGCTTTGAAAAATAATTAGAGGTTCATAAAGCATTATTTCTTATAACAATAAAAAAAAACTACCCATTACCAATCAAACATTATTTCCTTGATGGTAAATTTTTTATACATCACAAAAGCCAAAACCTTTAATCAAAAAGCCATTATTAGTGTTATTAAAAAATGAATATTGCAGCAATGCGAAACTTCAAAATCACATGATTAACCACCTGACCATCAGCAGGTTTTATCAAGGCATTGTATCGATTTTCTCAATTCATATGGGGGCTTCCTTTTACTTGAGACATTAACCAAGATATCATTCATTATGTAAGGCAGGTCAAATATTAGTCTTAAGCTGTGTTTATGACAAACATTTGTGAAAAACGTTTGCGTGCAATTTTTACATGCAAATTCACCTCCACTATGTTATTCGAGGCCTAGAGATATAATTGCATCTCAGCGACCTTACCGTCCTTTCTAAATCTCATCTACTTCAGCCAGCCTTTCAATATTCTCATCGCTTTCTTTCCCCTCATCAATGGGAAGGCTACTCATTTTGTCCTCCTGAGGTGGGAAAAGCTCATTCACAATGTTACTCTGTCCAATGTAACTGGAAAAATAATATGAAAAGGTAATCTACAAGACATTGCAATGACCACCAACCACCTTTTCCCCCTATTGTTAGGATTCACCACAACCTGCTTTCCATAAGATTTCCTTAAAGCAAATTGATACAAGGCCATCCTACGAACTAGGATTAAATATTTATCATTTTAAGATACGTACGTTGACTGGAATGTCTCTGTTAGCTCATGCTTCAACTCTCCTCGATGGTTAATAGTGAATATCCTGAAGATTGGAATACCAACAGCCTGATATGCCCAGACATCCTGTAAATTAACAATAGTTTAAATAAAATAAAATATATATATATTTTTTAAAATTTAGATTCTTTCCTCACTTCATGACCATATTTTATATTTCATATTTGGTTGCTATCTATGTTAAACAACTTAAGCGAGTCAAAAACAAGAAACATTTGTGCACTCAAATTAAACATAGTCTAGAAGCTTTTATATGTTATAAGAAAATAAAGTGTTTCTCTCTCTCTGATGATAATCTCATAAAAGTACATAGAAGGTTATTATGAAGTTTTCATCTAGTGTTAACAACTTTGGTTTAAAGTTACATACTTCAAGAATGTTCCATAATTTTTAAATAGAATTTAAGAAAATAATGCAGAAATAATTAGGAAATAGTTGGACAAAAATATGCAATAAAAATAAAATGAAGTTTGAGGTAAGTTATTTTCTTTTACTTAAATATAACAAAATTACTCAAAATAATGTGCATATTATTTTTTAAAATATATCAACAAGCAAAACTCACAAACCATGCTTATAGACCAGACATAAGCTAATAACACTTAAGCAGATTAACACAGATGGGTTGTTAACTCAAAATTTATGCGAGCTCTTTAACAAGATAACAAGTTATGCATATACAAGTTGTGTGCTCATAATATTTTATAATTGTAATATCACAGCATTATTAAGGAAAAAGTATTAATTAATAAAAATAATAACATTGGCCACTAAATATATAGAAAGGCATAACACTTATAATAATTAAAAACAAAATATAATAAATTTACTCACATTAATTTTGTTACCATATCCAGCGTAAAAAGGCTTTATATGAGTTGGAAACAGAGCTTGAATGTCTCTTAAGCAGGATATTTTGAATTCTTCTGGCTTCTTCTCTATAACTTCCCTGCAGCACAATAAAACAAAATTACTTTGAACGGTTTTAACTTGTTGATTTTATGACTATCGATGAAATAGCTTATAACATACTAATAGACCATAATAAAACTTTGTAAATATATAGAATGAGTATTTTTTGTTTTCATTTTTTTTTTTTTTAAGCATTACTACTAATTTATGTAATTATCTATTGATAAAACATTAAAAACAGATAATAATATTTGTACTCACGTATGGAATGCATTAAGAAGGCTAGTAGGATTGAGGAGCATTGGGCCTTCGGGTAGACCAAGATCCTCTTGTTTAATTGATTTCAAATATTCCCTCGTCAACCTTGACTGACCTAAAGACAAAAAAAATCAATAAGATGACATTCTTAGATTTATAAATTAAATTTATTATATTTTATCTTTAGATTGGAGCTAGAGGGTGGGTATGGTTTTAGGTTATAAACTAACGAGTCCAAATTAAAGTCAGGCTTGTCAGAAAATGCATCATAATATCAGTCATGGATAGATCCATTCAGTATTAGAAGGAAAACCGAGAGGTTCAATGTGGGTGCTGACCATATTTTCTTCTTTCATAGCCCTTTGTGAAGAAATGTTATATCCTTATCCATATAATGTAATAACTATAAACCTGAATACTGTTAAAATTAAAGTCCTCACCGTAAGGAAGGATTTTAGGATGTGTATGTCTGAAACATTCAATAAAGTTAGAATCCGTTATTATTTATCCGAGAAATTTGAGGTTCGTTCAGGCTTAAAACAAGAGGATTCTCTTTCACCTGTCCTATTTAATTTGGCATTAGAACATGCCATTAAAGAGGTGAAAGGATTGAATCATACTGAAAAAGGATTGAATCTGGGTGGAACAATATCCGTGCTTGAGTATGCTTATGATTTGGTCCTGTTAAACAAGGACACAGAAACAATAAAACTAAATACAATAATGTTGATGAAAGCTGGTAAAGAATTTGGAATCAAAATAAATACGGATAAGACAAAGTATATGGTTAGTTGCAAAAATGGTGACAATGTCGATATAGAAGGAAATATGTTTGATCAGTTATAAATATGTTGAGAAGTTTAGGTATCTAGAGTCTACGATAACTAGAAAAAATGAAATAGAAGAGGAGATTAAGGTTAGGCTGAAGACGGGGAATGCTTGTTATTTTTCTGTGACAAAATTACTAAGCTCTTGTTCCAAAACTTAAAAACTAGAATCTATAAAAGCATTATCCTACCTACGGTTCTTTATGGATGCGAACTGTGGCCACTTACATTAAGGGATGAACAATGTATTAAGGTTTTTTAAAATAAAGTATCGTGTAGAATATTCGGACCAAAGAAGGATGAGTTAACCAGAGAATTAGGTGGTTACACAACACCGATATTGTGTGAACTTTATCCGGTTAGTATAATTGTTGGACTAACTAATGAAAGAATTTCTAAAAGATTAATATGCACTGTGCAAACTGGTAAACGTCTGAGGGATGGACCGAGGTGAAGATATGAAGAATTCGTTAAGGCTGATCTGATGGGACTGGGTTTGGCGACCGATGGAGGGAGGTGTATAATAAGCGATTCGTAATGACGGCATCGAACCTCACAGCAATACTTTTTTTTTTTTTAAAATGAATTAATAATAATCAATTATTTACCAATAGCCCTCGCTGAAAGGTAGAGTAACTTGTAACCATTATCTTTGATTTTGGTAAATAGCTTTGCAACACCACTCTGCGCCCAGTCTTTTCCAACAATGGGTAAAATATGCCCAAGCACGTCAGATCTAAAAGATAAATTAAGATATTTTAGATTTATATTAAATTAAAAAGCAAATATTAAAAAAAAAAGGAAATAAAATTACTTTGTAATGGTTCCGTCGATGTCAGATACGACAATTTTATCATCATATCTCCAACAGAAAAGGAAGCATTTACACCTACTTGTTCCCTGGTACGCTGTCGTAACACTAAACTGAATTTCATTTGCTCCAGGATGAAGTTTTAAACTTGCCTATAAACAGAAATATTTAATAATGCAGTTGTTACAAATGATTAGAATGGTACTAAAATGAATTATACAAATTAAAATAAGTTATTCTTGTGTGATGGATTTGATAGCTAACAGTTGTCAGATTTACTGTCTGCATTTCAAGGCTCAACAAGAATAAATCTATATTACTATAATTACAATTGATCTATAGAAATGAATTAAAACAAGTTTCTGAAATAGAGATTTATTAATCCTTTTACTCCAGGAAACCTTATCTCTTAGATATTAAGTAATTTGGAGGAATAGATAGCTGATTATTTAATGAATAAAATGGAATCTTACGATTTGGGCAGATGTCAACCGAAGTGTTTTACGATATTTATCGCTATTAAAGTCAGGTGTTGCAGTCTCAGGTTCCTTAATATTTTCTTCAAGCCTGGAATCTAAATGGTCGTCTCTACTCCTTAAAAAAAAAACAATAAAAAATTAATTCTATTTAATAAAAGAAAGCATATTAAATGGCTCAAGTCAAAAGAAATACTAACTGTGGTGAGAGATCCAAAGGCTGATCAACAATTGGTGGTATATCGGTTGAAATGGAATCAGGTCTCTTAGGAGGATCAGGTCTGGTTTAAGAGAGAATAAAAAAAGTGAATAAATTAGAATTAGTCGGATATACTATTTAATTTTATAACTAATGATAATATAAATAAATCTTCTAAAAAACTAACTTAAATTGAATTAATGTTTATGGCATTCCACACAATAAAAAATTGTGTTTTTTTATAATATAAAATACAATTTATATGTATGAGAATTTAAATTTATAAAAAAAATTAATTTTACTATATATAAAATTAATAATTTACTTTATCTTTCATTTATAATATCTCTCTATTATTTAAAAGTTTTTAGTGACTACTATATTGTATTTTATTTTAGTATTAGATTACTGGAGCTGAATTTTTCAGCCCAATCCTCTAGACTCTCCTATGGCGATTATTTTACAAATTATACAACTGTTCATTTAATTACATATGTGTTGAGCTCCTGAAACCGCCTAATCTTCTAATACAAAATAAAGATTTTAGACTAATAATTTATACAGTAAAGGGTATTCATCAGGAGGTGGTGATTTGATTTTACCTCAGTGAGAGTAGTTATTTTTGAATCTACACATTTTCACTTGAATACAATATATTAATTATTATATAAAATATTATTTATATTATATTATATTGTGATATAATTATAATTATTATAAAATAGAAGAGGAAGCACAACATAACGTACAATGAAAATATAAGAAATAAAAGGCTCAAATTGATGTTGGGTTATAGGACATTATATGAGGCCTAGACAAGTTGAATATATATTATGGTTACAAATAGTCAATAAGGTGTGATGTATAATATAGATTTTTAAAGAAGTTAAAAATTTGTTTGAACCTGGGCTTTGTTCAGTTTATTTTATGTTAATAAAATAATACAATTTGTACCACAGAATACATGTAAATTACGGTTATACAATTTGAGCAACAAGTAGAACAATTGTATTATTTGTAAAATGAGGGTTGGTCTGTCTAATGGCATAATTTTCATTAAGTAAGATAAACATAATGTTAATTATCACAGCACAGCAACACTAAAAGAAAAAAAATTGTATTCAAGGTTGATCACAACTTACTTTTCAATTGTTTCGACAGGTACTATTTCAGTAGTTTTAATTTCTTCTTCTTTTAAGGAAGTTGGACTAGATACTTCAGTACTATTAGCTAAAATTATAAAAAATAAATTATAATCTTTATCAATTAATAATTTATGAAAATTAAAGAAAATAATTTTCATAAATAAAATAAGCTTTAATGTTAAAATTTTTATTTTACAAAAAAAAAAAAAATAACCAAATGAATACAGAAGATTAATTTTTATCCAAGGTTTTATAATATTATTTAATTTTTTGTTACTAAAGTACATAATTTTTTAACAGATTTCTTTTGTTAAAAGGAATTGTTTCCTACCACATTAAACAATAATAAAATAATTTACTTACGATATTTCTGTGCTTGGGGGTTGTTTCGAGACCAATAAAACCAGGAATAAGGTTTCCTTGATGGTTTTCCCTTTTCATCAATTCTCGCCTCTCCTATCTTTTCATCGTGTTCTGCCTCACTCTCTGATATCCTCGATAAAACATCCTAAAGACATAAACAAACTTTAAAACAAATTATTGAAAAAATTGAATATGTTTACTGCAAAAGCATGTACGATTGGATTTGAGTTATTTAGGTCAATCTTGGAATTAGGTTTATTCAAATTTACAAATTAACTAAAAATTTTACATATATGTCTTAAATATCCAATAAAATTATTTTTCTTAGAATAGAACATTCAATTTTATCAGACATCAAAATATATTTAATTTTTTTTTATAACAGGAAAATTTTTTGGGCTCAAAATCTATTTGTTTATTTAAATGAACTAATATTAAAGATTTTTTTTGAGATGCTTAAAAAAAATGAATATTGTTTTATACTTATGATACAAAAAAAAGAGTATATATTTTGTTTTTCTCAGCTCCTATGAAGCCAATGGAAACAACAAAATACATTTAATAGGTGTTTTTAATTTAATAAAGAAAATTATTATTATATATATTTGTTGATAAGAAATATCAACTTAATTACTAACTGAAATGATAAATAATATTGAACTTTGATAATCCTCTCTGAAGAAGAGAATTTTAATCAATATATACGTTTTATTCTTTTCAGTTCGATCATTCTATTTGTATTAAAAAAATTACATAAAATATGAATTTCGTATAAGCCAAATATTATACCTGAGGTAATGTTTTATTGAAAAAGAAGAAAGAGACTAGAATAGGAGCAGCAGCCTTCCAGGTGTAATACTTTCCATCGACCCTCACGACTAGTTTAGGATCAAAGATGATTTGCGGATTTACAATAAAATCGTTGTATACTATTTGCGCTTCTTCAAACTGTTCTGGTGTAGGATTTGGACCACAAAATGACATAGCAAGATCTTCAGGGAAACCTCTGTAATGATAAATATAAGTTACGTATATTTCATTTTCATTATTTCGTTAATAAATAACGAAATAAATACGATCTAAAATGCAGATAAAATATTAAATCAATATAATTACTTAGAATGTTCAAAATCTGACGATTTAGGTCCACAAACTGCACCTTCAACACTATGCGGGGATTGAGGAAGAGATGGCCCGTTACCTGATTCAGCATCTTCTTCACGAGTTTCTTCTTGATAATCTATAAATCAAATAAAATATACATCTGTTTAGAGGTTAAGTAATTGGCCACTAAAAGAGAGCATTGGCTGGACAGAACATGTTTATCTCTTAGCTACGAGGTAGATTGAAAAAATTCCTGAGAAGAGCCATGTATTTAATTCTATGTAACGGAATTATACCCTTTAGGGTCCTCAAATAGGTTTAATAATTTCAAATTCCTTATACTTTTTTTCTGATCAAAAGCATGAGCTTATTAGGAAATTCAAGGTCCGCCTACTTGAATGATTAAATATAATTAAGACAGTTAGAATAGATTATTCTTACCCATAATAACTCCAGAAGTGCTCTGCCTATGGGCCGATGATGGGAAGTAGAGAGCTGTCATCTCTGGGTCATCGGAATTGAGTTCCGATAAGTAAATACCACCATCAGATTCATTCTTATGCCTCATATGCTTTGTCTTCTTCATAAACCCCAGCATATTTTGAAGTATCCATTTTTGCGCTGTACATGTAAAAATGGTTATTTATTTATCATTTACAAACAAAATATATCATTCATTATAATTAACGAAAGTGACTTACATTCCTGCTTTTTATCTTCTAAGCTGCTAGAAGTTGGCAGCTCACCCCACTTCCATTGCGACTGGGATGGCTCTTCAGAACCTGTCCTTTCTTCACCTTCCATTCTCTTTGTCTCAAATTCAGAATCACTTTGAATTGGCCCGAAATCACAACCTTCTCTTGGGCTATAATAATAATAATAATAATCATGATTATATAAAATTAAATGTTTTCATTAATATATATATATTCATAGCACTTCATAAATCTACTTTATTAATCTACTCAGTGCATTTCATGAAGATTCTTAAGTGCTAAAAATCAAAAAGTACTATTTTACTGACTAATGAACCATTACAAAAGTATACGTGTCATTGAAAAGAATTTATACAAATAATAATATATTTTCAGCTATAGTAATATATATAATACTTTAACATTTCCTTATTCTCATTAGAAATAAAAAATATTAAAAAAAAATTATTATATATTGTTAGTTTACTGTGAAAAGTAACTATAGGCATTTTTTATGGAGTTAAACATCTAAGTGAATTTCGACCTTATTTAGCAATAATATGAAACTGGAGGTGGTTCAAAATCATACATCATCATATAAATATACAATATTTATACTTACAATATTTATATAAGAGCACAATTTTTTTATTACACAGAAGGAAAAATCATAAAAGAACTTAATATTTTAATATCATAAATATGTGATCAATATGAGTGTTTTTATTAATATTTTAAAGGAAGGAGATGGTCCGGGGTTGCGGTCATAAATAGGCTAAATAGTTTTACCACTATTTAGCCTATTTATGACCGCAACCCCGGATCATCTCCTTCCTTTATAATGCAATGGTCAACTATTAAATATTCAATATTAATATTTTAATTTTATGAAATAATTTTTTGCAATAAACCGACAATATATATATATATTGAAAACTGTTTTGGGTAGGCGATAAAAAAAAATTAGGTTTCAATATTTGAATTCCCATAAGTGAGATATTAAATACATATATTATTTTTTGTGATGAAATTTACAAAAATCAACCACTGCATCTAATCATCAAATTTTATTCCTACATTTACAAAATCAAATTTAAAATCTAAATAAATAGGTTTATTATTTAATATTATGAAGTTGATGAGGACTGCACACATGCATGAATCAGGATAAGCAGTTGCTGAGATAATATAAATACATGTAAGATAAAGGAAAAAGGAACTAAATCTACACCTCAACTATGACAAAACTGAAAAAAAAATAAAATAAAAAACTGTGACCCTATTATCTATCATCTGATTTTTAATCTTTTTCTATTTTTTTTAATTATTAACTTATTACATTAAAATTCTTCCGTCACTTGTAAAAATGTTCTTTCAAAAAACTTATTTTGTCATAGGAAAGGATGAGAAATTTACTATCAGTAATCAGTAGAGGCATAGCATCTTTAATAATCACATATTGAATATCGCAATATGCTGTATGTTTAAGGATACGTTGATGGGAATGTAGAAGCTGCTAAAAGGGTTTATGCAAGGTCTATATATAATCAAATTACATAAAATAGATTACTATTTCAAAATAATTGAAAATTAAACAATAAAATACTACTAACAATATAAGATACAATATGATAGATACAATGTTCATTAAATGCAAGTAAATTATGAGAGATTGTGTGATTTTCTTAAAAGATTGATAAAAGCAGTTTTAAGACAAGCACATGCAAGTTCATGCAAGGGCTGGTCGCAAGGTAATAAGAATAGGTTAATTACAAAGCTGCGATGTGGGAGCCGTTCAGTAGATGAAAACCAGTCTCCAAAATCGTCTCACTTTCTTTACAACACCTAAATGTATTGTTAGCATAAGCCATATTGAAAAAAAAAAAAAGAGTAGGTTGTATAGATAAGGAAACAATCCTATCCTATTGCACATTATATAGGTAATTTGAGGACTCTATTCTTAACTTTTTTTACAAAGTAAGAACCATAGTATTATTGTTGCAATTGAACAATTAGTTACAACTAAAGGGATGGCTAATGAACACAATATTTATTACTAATTAAAATAGTGTTTAAGTGCAATGATCAACTTTTTTTCTTTTATCCATAATGATACCTGATAATGAAAATAAAAAATAAATTTAGTCAACTTCCAAATTCTTGTTATATAGAACAACTGAGAATGAATACATTAACAACAAGTACTTGAATTCCTTCAGTGCTCAAAACACGAGATGATGATGACCCACATGTTTGGGTTGAAACGTCGGCACCAATAAAAAACTTTATAATGACTGTGTCCTGAATATTTATCACCCATGATATGTAGAACAGTTGATAAACTTCCTTCAATAATGTTTATTTATATATATATACTATTTTTAAGTATTTGTCACAAAAAATATTGTTGAACAGTATCATCTCACAAAAAAAAAAAAAACTCCAAAAAAAAAAAACCCAATTTGATTGAAGTTCATTCATGGTATCATTTTTAATAATAAAACAATATGAATTGAAAATAAAAAATGAGAACAACTATATAAATTTTTATGAAAAAACATAAATATGTAATGTTTTTAAAAACTGAGATAAAGTTTTACAAAAAGAGGTATCAAGAAAAATTTAATTAAAATTAAGGTGTCAATTCATTAAGTTACTATGATTTAAATGATGACCTTTGTTTAAAAAACATTATCATATAAAATATAACATTTATTACTACTAAATTTTTGTAATAATGAAACCCATCCGGACAGAATCGTCATCTTTTTGGGAATGGTGGAAAAGTGAGACTGGATTTTGGCTGGTCTCATTGCATGTTGATCATAAAATATCGATATTAAGTTGGAAACGTTCTCTAACATCAAAAAAGTTTTAAGAAATAGCAAAATTTATTTATCTACAGTTTTTCCAATAAATTACTAATGTCATTCATTGAGGATTAATTCATCCAGAATGAAGAAGCAGATAATGCAAATTAATTTTAACAAAGAATTTACTAATTTCATGATATGAGGGTTTCAGCAAAAATAGTCTGCACTTAATAAAGATGAATCAGCCATTGAGAGATATTTAAAGAAAAATAAAAGTAATTGATTAAGCAAGAAAAAAACTAAGTACTTATGTTCAACTATAATTTAGTCTAATAAAATATGGTATGTAAATAATTTGAAAATGAAAAAAGCTACAATTTAATTAATTTCATAAGTGACTATATTTTATACAAATCACCAGTACCAAAGGAGTTTTAAAAGATCCATCATATTTTTAGGGAGCAAAAAAATAAATATGAAAGATATAAACAAACAGCAAAGCTAATTATGAAGCTTGAAGCATTTATGAGTGTATTTAAAAAACATGTATGTAAAATTTAAAAATAGCAGCCATTATAAGCTTGCTATTTTTATCAAGCAATTAATTTCATAATTGTAAAATACATTTTGTAGTATGATATAAAAAATCTCCACTAAAAAAAAATATATCATTGGCTAAACTACCAAATAATTTAGGTCAGGTTAGGTCAGGCAGTATAGCCAACAATATAAGTACCTATGTAAAAAAAGCAAATCTTTGCACTAAAGATGTAATTGCAATTTAAAATTGGATAAGCATCATAAGCTGAATTCAAGAAAAATAATAGTCATAAGCCATCCCCGAGTTAAAAAATATTATGTACATTTAATTATTAGTGGCAGTGATTTGTCATTTTTAGTATGCATGCCCATTTACTGCAACTAAATTTTCGATAACTCAGATTAACACATTACAACTGCTATCTTTAATATTATCAATAAAAAAAAATGTAATCAAACCAACAACAGAATAATTGTATAATGAACAGATGCTAACACCAAAACTTATTTTAATTGCTAGTAAAGAAATTACAGATAACTATTGAATTTTCTAGAAACTTTTATGAGATAATGAAACCACTAAATTTATGCAATAAATTAATAAGAAGATGGGATGAAAAGTATAAAATTTAGTTGAACGAAAATTTAATATTTATTAGGTATTGCTATTTTAGTATTTTTTATATAAATCAAGATGAGGAGATCAAGAACAAGAAAGGATAAAAAGAATAAAATTTAGTTAAACAAAAATTTTAATATTCATTTCGCATCACTGTAGTAGTAATTTTAAAAACAATTCAATGAAATATTATTTTTAATTTATTAAAAAACCTTAAAGATGAAAATTAAGTTTTCCTTACGTACGCTAGTGATCTAAAATTCTCTTAATCAAAGATAAGCCGTTTTGAGAAGGAGTTGGTTGGGGAGTGTGGTCAATAAATGAATGTAGTATTTTTAATATCACGTAATAGTATTATATATTGACCGCTAAGCCGTTTTGATTTTATTTTATTTGAAAGATTAAAACTTCAGCATACAAAAGAGTTTTAACAATCAAAACGAATACATTTCTTGCTTTTTTTTTAACTGCACTAGAAATTATATTAGTAGTGAGTAAGATATAAGAAAGAATTTTGAATGAAGGAAAGAATTAAATGTGAATTTTATCAATTTAAATTAAATTGATTAATTCAACTTAACATTGAATAAAAAATAAGGGTGAGGAGGGGATGAAGAAAAATACCAACAGGTGAAATGTCTTTTATAACGTCTGAAAGTCAATTGAATCTATTCATAAATATAATAATAGTGTTATCTGCAAAATGTCAACAACACAAGAGCAATAGTAAAAAAAAAAAAAAAAAAAAATACCTTGTGCCAGGTGTGATCTCAGTATCGCTGAAGAAATGGATATCTGGACCATCAAGCTGCACAGAAGAAAGATCCAGAGGTTTTGTTTCTTCCTATTGAAAAATAATTTTATTTAAAATAAATTAAAACTCTGCTAGCGATTATTTCAACTAAATAACTATATAAGGACCATTCATACAGCATTGATTCAACTCAATAAGACTACTAATCTAAACTGATATAACTTTTATCACATGAAACAAGAATCAATTACAGTCGAACCTTTGTGCTCCATGCTTCCTTATATTGAAAATCAATATTATTATAGAAATTTTATAAAAAAATTCTATATATTAAACAAAAAAACAATTGGTTGCTCATAAAAATAGAATCTTAGTTGACACTAAAAAGACCCGATTATAATAAAAAAAAATCTGGTGAGGGCAACACACAACTTTCACTTATCGCTCAACTTTGAATAGAAATTATTTTTGGCCATATCGGGCTATTATAAAATTTTTTAATTGCATTTTTAACTGAGCTGAAGCTAAAAAATTACAGCTAACAAATCATAAATACCATGAAAATAACCAAAGTCCTATTTATTATATCACCGGTTGATTATGGATTGTACGATCAATTGCTTATGGATTCTAATAAAATTATTAAACTACAGTAAATATATTTAAGGTTATAAACATGTGCATTAAATGATTTTATATTTTACTTCTTCTTTCACACAAGTACAATGAAATAGTTATTTAAACAATGTCATTGCCTTTATTAGGTGGATTTTAAATATTTCTTTCAATCTTTTTAAAATATAAAGTATAAAAAAATATTTTAAAAGGTTGCATTTAGTTAGTAAATTTCATTTAATTTCCTTGAAAACATGTGATTTACGTTAAATATTATTAGTTTTCAAAAAATATTATTTATAATTTTTTTTGCCAATCTGTTTCCTTTTACAAAGATCTATATTCGATATTGTTTTTTCTAAAATTCTCCGCTTTCCAATGATATATTATACGTATATCTTTGGACTAGTATTTTCAGAGATTCATTTTCGACCTGAATAAGCATTTTTATTTTTTTCTCCTTTATTCAATCATCAAATTCATTCAAAAGTTATGTTTAGCATTTTTTCATAACTTTTAATAATAAGAGATAATTGATTATTTAAAATAAACCATATTAAAGGTACTTTAGAGGAAGACGCATATGAAAATTGGGCATTTAAGCCCTTTAAAGTGACATCAACGGGGATAAGGACTAAATGATATTAAAGGCTACTTAATTATACGATGATACACCGAGTTTAATCAAAATCGTTAGAGCCGTTTTTGAGAAAATTGTAAAAATGTGTTTCAGCGTTCATATAAAGTGGCACTTCCAGTTAGCCGATTTTAACGAAAAAGTTGCTGTCACATCCGGCCCATATAAAAACCTTAAATACTTGATATAAGTTTCGTACTACTTTTCGTTTATGAGCTAGACTGTTAACACACACACACACACAGACCATTTTGCGACACTTGGTTATTTGGACTCAGGGGACCTCAAAACACGTATTTCCATTGAAAACTGAGATTCGAAAATTTTCACGATCGCAATACTTACACTTACTATGTATTTCATATATACGTAAGTGAAAGTAAAAAAATATACATAAAGCAATGAATATTCAGAGAAGCATACGAGATACATATGGGAGTGAGGTGACCTAAAGGTACAACTAAACCTATTCTAACCAGAGTAGCAAGGGCGAGATTCATTTTGGGGATGTGTCACGAAATAAATTTCAACTCGTCCAGGACGGATTGGAAATGGTGCTACTATACTCAAGAATGTTTTAGTAGCCAACACTATAACATACAGGGCCATCACAATCTCTTTAGTAGGAGGCAGTAGCCTCTAGGTAGCCATCAGGGGTTGGCCCACTAGCAAGATTAGTTTTCCCCACCAGGCAGGTATACCTGTAATACTTTATAAATTACCTATGATGCTTCCTTAACTCCTAAAAAATTATTAAAATTTTTTTTTTTTAAGATGAAAAATTGCGGTATTATTATGAATAGAGATTTCTTTAAAGGAAACTTCATGTCGTATATATCATCAATTTAATGCAAAAAGTAATTCATTAAAATTAAATCACTATGTACTGTGATGAAAAGTTATTAAAAGGTTTTATATAGATAAATAAGGTCAGAATACATAAAAATAACCAAAAAAGTTTAGCTTCATCAAATTGTACTTGGTGACTTTTTGCAATAAACTGATGATATACAGGTGATATGGAGGTAGTAGGGCTGTATTTCTATTATCACTTTTATATCCAAGAAAATCATTTCAATATAGTTTACTAGTAGTAAAGTCTAAAAGAGATCATAGTGGGAGGTGAGATCAGATTTGAAACACATACATGGTAAATAACTAAAAAAATATCTTACCTTTTCGACAGGCTTTTCAACAGATGATGACTGCATGGTATCTATATCGTCCAATTGAAAAATCGCTTCAGAACTGACTTCTTCAACTGGGAGACTATTTCTCTTTTGTTGCTGTTTCTTTTTGGTCGATTTCTTCCTCCTTTTCCTCTTGTTGTTAGTAGAGGGAGGAACATTATTCATTGATAATCTTTCGTCTGCTGATGGTGAATCATCCTAAAACATACATAATTTAACTTTAATTTTTTTATTACATTAAAATATACAAATAAAATTATAATACCATAAAAAAATTATAAAAATACCTTAGCAAAATCAGTATCTAGCCCAGATAATGAGGTACTAGAGTTTTGACCAACGATTGGCCTGAATTCAACAGAACCTCCAAGAATCATTTCATCGTCCACTTTCTCAGCTTTAAATGTTTTTGGAGTAGAACATGAGGTTGGAGGATCCGCCTCTGATTGCGCAGCGGAACTGCATTCATCAACAACAATTTCAGCGATTGATGTGAGAGCTTCACCTCCACCAGGTCCAACTCCTTCCCCTCCTCCATGATCCTCGTCATCTAATCTGAAAGTAAATTAATAATAACATTATTATTATTACTACTGAGAGTAATAACCAAATCTCTTATCACAAATTGAATTCATAAAGATATAATCGTTCAAAGTAATTTTACAACCGTATTATTATTTTTATTTTAACTCTTGACAACAATAACATTAAAAAGATAATAAATCAACAAAAAAACAAACAAGAAAAAAGACTAACATAAAAGATAATTCATTTTTATTTTTATGAGTACTTTATTTACCTATTCCAATCAGCTGTCTCTTCTCCTGAATCGGGAGGAATGGGAGAACAGGCCAAGTGAGGAGGAATAATTTCTTCTTCGACTTCCTCAACGAAAAAGGCTTCTCCACTTTCTCCTAACTTCATGTGGATATCAACTGGTTCTCCGTTAATTTCTATGTCGACCTAGAAGAATGTGAAATAAACTTTAGAACTGTTTCAGTTATAGTAAAAAAAAACATTATCAAAAATCGTATTTTCTTTTAAACATATTGCTAAAATATAAAATGGTACTTTCTATTATGATAAATTTCTCAAACTTTGATAATACATAACATGGCTACACAGGTCTTCTGTGACCTAGCGGTAGCAAAGTTGCAGGAAAAAAAAAAATTGCTATGTCATGTTAACCACGGTGAATATTGAATTTATATAAACTTTCAGTTCATGTTGATTTTTTTTTTTTTTTTCAGTAACAGCTCTACTGTATTTAAAAATATTTAAATAGTAATAATAATAATAAAAACATGATGTTCATCAACCAGCACTTTTTAGAACATAAAAAAATAAATTAAAATCCAATAAATAAAATAAAATTAAGTGGATAGGGAAGTGCCCCCTAAAGGTGATGGTGCATGCCATTACTATTCACCTTGATAGACCAACAATTTGAATCAAAACATCAGAATCGAATAAATAATTATCAATTATTCTTTATTGTTACTTATACAACTCCCAGACCACCTCATTCTATAAAAATTGCAGTTTATTTAAAATTACACTCGCTGGGACCTGTTCCATATTTCTACCCTCGTTTCCTAGTTTGAAAGTTTCTCCACTAAACCTCACAATAAAAATGGCTCTCGTTAAAAATTCATAAATCCTTCAAAATGTGTCAACCTCAAAAATTGTTAGTGTTTTTAAAAAATATGAGCTCTATGGACTAGTTTTTTTTTGGTCATCATAGATACATACAAATCAAGAAATAGTTTGTACACCTGGGGTGGGATGGTTATACTAGATTGAGATGTAAAAATTGTTGAACTTAATGTTCATATACTATAGAATGGAAGGTATAGATAAAACAAAGAGTATTGGAAATGTACTATGTAGTTCTGAGTATTTTTAGTAGAATAGTTTAAGTTTAATGAGTGAGTCAGAAGCTTTTACTGAATCTTTAAGTTACCCCTGGCTAATCCAGATGACTTCACAGGCCACCTAGTTGACACATAACGTCACAGATGGCAGCACTTTAAATAAACAAGCTCTTAAAATATGTTATACAAATAAAAAATAAATAAACCATCACTGCTGTATTATGGTACAATATAATTAACTCCTGGGTATTAATTAAGAATGTTTACTTCAATAAATTTTTATGATTCAGTAATATTTAGGGTATGTGTTTATCATATAAAAGAACTGGAGTTTGTGAATGCACTAACTAACGCAATATGACAATGATGCTAGATATGAAATTTTGTGTCACATATATCATAATAATAAACAACTAAATTACAATAATAGTAAGGAAATAAAAATATCATAAATTAATTATTAATCAATAATTCCTTAATCAGTCATAAACTTCAAAAGCAACTAAATCAAGATAAACCATTATTTAGTTAGCATCAACAAAATTTAGACATTAGATGAATTAACATTTTAAAAGAAAAATTAAATCAACAACCCTTATATATAAATCTATAATATGCAATTTCGACATTAGTAGAAATAAATGAATCATAAAGGCAATACTATCCTGAGGGAAATAAATAAATGACCAATAAGTAGGACCTGATCGCCCATTTTGTAATGATTAAATGAATGACCGTAAAACTATTACAGTATTATTTATTATCCAATTTATTATTGATTTATATAACTCTATATTCTTAATATAAATCTTTTTAGAATTTTTTTTTCCTTTCTTTTTAGTCGGCTGTTTAAGTATAAACGTCTATATGTTTAGAGGTATACATCCAGACAAATAGAGGTGGAGTACTTTAATTCTATATTAAAATCATATAGATTTTTTTATAAATCAATACTCAAAGAAAAATCTATGAATACAAAAAAAATAAATGAATTTAAAACAATAGGCAAGGTTGCTGTAAAACGAGAATACCCAATTAATCAAACTAGAAATACTATACTCCTTAGTAAAAACAATTAATACTGCTTTTTTTCTCAAACTTTATGAAATAGTTTCAAAAAGCAAACTAATTAGAAAATTTTCTATTCTTTTCTTCCCTCTATTTTTCATACTAAAAAGAACTTTAATAAACGAGATTATAAAGATAAATATATGATCAACAATATTCCTTTTATGATAGTTAGGATTTTACAAAATAAGATATTTTTAAATGAGATTGATTGAAAAAAAAAATATATATATACATCAAACAGTTTGACATTAACAAATAAATATCATTTCTGTGTCAACAACCAACTGTCAGTGCAATGTTGGAATTTCTCCAATGGCAAAAATCCATTTGGCTAACTTAAATATGCTTTCTGCATTTTCAAAGGATCATATTGTTAAAAACATTAAGTTAGTTTTTTAATAGGTAATAATGCCAATCAGAAATCACAACTGTCATCTTGCACACAATTGTACAAAAAATGTTTCCACTTGTAAATTTAAAGAGAACTTAAATATATAATAAGAAAGTATGATGGATCATAACCATTAATGGACTTTAATCATAAATAAAAAATAAAAAACAGCGAAGCTAATGAAAACATTAGGTGTTAAACATATCAGTAACAAGTCCCATAAAATAAGAATTAAAAAAAAATTATTACAAAAGATCCTTACTATTTTTTCTTTGCTCCGAAGAACACCCATTTTCCCAAACCTTACATGGAAAGGAGAACAGGTGTATGTTCCGTCAGGCTGCTCGACAACAACAACATCTATTGCTCCTGTTAATGTTGCAGCATTTATTTCATTATATATGTATTTGCAGTTGTTAATAACTTTCCCCAAGTAATTCATATTAAAGCCTGAAATATAATAAAAATAGGAGTTTAGAAAAATGAAAACCAGTTGTGTAATATAATGTAAGGTGAATTAATAGTGAGAGTAATAACAGATTTGTAGGTGTAAAACGATTTCAGAATATGACTAATTTATTCTAGCAGGAAAATTCGGAATGAAGTTTGTCAAACAACAATAATTGATCGGAAAATGGGAGGAAAAATTGAGTTCCGTGCAATGACAGATTTAAAAGAGTAAGTTCTGACCTAGCCAAGATGAAACAACTTCAGGGTGCAGGGCAAAGTCTGGAATATCATGTAATAAAGATCATTACTTACGATTTAATTACTAAGTTGCTAAAATAACGCTGATCTAATTTCTAGATTGCAGATGGGCTGTCGTAATCCAGAGGTACATTCATTAATGACCGACTGGGTTGGATGTTCTACTATCCCCTGTTGATGATGATGAGAAATGGTCAACAAAATCGATAACAGGCTGAATGAGACACGACACAACACTGCGAACCTCACTACCCAACGTACAGAAGAGTACTGCTTGAGAGCACGGAGGTCACCTGTGTTTCATCGTATCAGCTGATCACTGCGCATGCGCAATGAGCTCACATCATATCATTGCCATAACAACGATCCTTTGGCTGATATAAAATGTGTAATGATTTTAGCTCATCGACAATTTATTATATTTAATTATTGATATTCTTTGAATACCATTATTTATTATTAATACCATCGAATCATTTTATTAATGTGAAGGCAGGATTTACTCCTGGACAAGAGTTTTTGCCACCCCTTATGCGTATGGGGAGATATATTCTTCAAAACAATAATCTAATAATTACGAAAATAAATTAACAGTATAAAAGAAAACTAAATATAGACTTTTCTCAACTCATTGTAAACAATTCCTGATGTTATTTAAACAGGTTTATTTCTAGATTAACCCTGGCAGGGCGCATCCCCAACCTGGGTCCCAGTAGGGTAGGGCCAATATCAGATCTAAGATTTAATTTGGGGAGATTTGATTTTTTTTTTATAGAAACAGTATTAACTCCTAAAAAAAGAAAGAAACTATATAGAATAATGTTTATGTGGTTCTTGAAAGCCTGCTAATTTTGTTTTCTTTACACTTACTTAATTTAGGTGCTGAAATACGTAAAAATATTATAACGTAATAATATTGTATATCTTGATTATTTAAGTATTTAGCAGTGATCACGTAAAACAAATATGGACCTATGAAAAAAAATTACTTTTCCATTTTTGGTGGGGGGGGGGGGGAGAGGGTCTTCAGCTCGGAAGACTGCCGTCCCCAGTAAATCCACTAGTGGGTGGGGCTAGTTGCAAATCCGGCCTTCCGAGTGGAGTAAATAACATCATTGGAACTAATGCGACGCTTTGGGGACTAGTTCATAGTGATTTAAATTTTATGGAAGCGGGATGGCTGAGCGGGGTAACGCGTGTGCACGGCACCTACACGTCCCGATGCCCGGAGTGGCTTTTGGCTCTGGCATTAATCCTCCGCCCTAACCCCCTGGCCTGAGAAAACTCAGCATAGCCTAAAAGGCGAGGAATGGAGAGAAATACATTTAAATTAAACATGGCTTATTGAGAACAGCTCCTCTTAATACCATCAAAACAAGTCTTCCAGTCTCCTCCCCCTACCCCGCTCAAATGGGTTAATGTAAGCACGCGTCAAGAAAAAATATAATAAATTTATCTTTAAAAGCATTAATGTTTCTATAATTACCGTTTTTATTTAATTTTGCTTTAAGGACCATTCAAAAATTGCATACAGGTACCTTTTTTTCATTTTCTGGCGTAGTAATTACCGTTATTAAATAAAATATAATATACTCCTTCCCCCCCCCTCCAAAAAAAAAAATAAACAAATAAAAATTAAATTAAATTCTTATTGCTTCAACTTAAGCACAAACATTAAGAAGTTTTAATTTTGAAACTCATTTTTCCTCAATGTAAAACGAAGAAATCTCGCATGAAATGAAGAAAGAGTTTAATAATATTACTAATTTATAATTCTTAATAGATTTGCTAGTGAAAGTTAAATCAAACACAGAGTTTTATAAAGAGCTTTTTTTTTAAAGTTAATTAATCCATAATCAACAAACTAGGACCCATTGTTTCATCCCAAAAGATAGGAAACAAAAAAAATGATTTATTATCAATAAAAAAACTTTTATTTAGTTATATTATATCTATATATATAACGCTTAGGCCTTTTCGGTATTTTCAAACATATCTTTATATACTGTTTACAACCTGTATACTTTTTCTTTGTCTTATTTCTAAAATATATGTTAATTTTTTTTTTCTTTAGACAAAATCTCTTTCATGTCAGTCAAATATTTTAATTCTAAAAACAAGAAAAATCTTTTATTACCCAATACATATTCCAAAAATTAATTAAAAGACAAACAAAAACTAACAATAATACAAGTACTTAGCTAAACAAAAAGGAAAATTTCACTTTTACTTTTAATTTAGGTCTTTTGGGATGAAAAAATTGATCATTGTTTGTTAATTATTAATTAATTAACTTTATAGAAATTAACTTTATTATATCCCATTTTTAGATAATAATTTCTATATTTTTTAATGGAAAAATGAGTAATCTAATAAAAGGTGAAAATCATATATTTTTTTAGCGGACGTAAGTTCCAAAAATGATCTGATCAGGCAATTATATTTGTGATTGTTTAAATAATAATTTTCTTGAATCGTAACATAATTTGATCACAAAATCAAGAAAAATGGTGGTATACAAAAATACTGGACGTTATGGAGTGGCCTTCACCCCCAACATGTCAAAATGACAAGTTTGCATAGACCAACCGTCCAAATATTTTTGTAGGACACCTTTTTTCGATTTTGTAATCAAATTATCTTATGGTTCAAGTGGAAAGGAAACGGCTATTTATGACTTTTAGTACCTCATTAAATAAATTAATTTTTTGAGAATTTTCTTGGATAAAAAAAAATTAGGTGAGTGCTTTTGATCACACGATAGAAGTGAAAAAATCAACAAGGCGAGATTAATAATATGAATATTATTTATAAATAACAGGTTATTATAAAGAGGATGAAATGCTGAACATTTCCCTCGCTTACCTTATGCAGGTCCGAGTTTTTAGTGTTTGAGATATTTTAATCCATATCTTCAATAAAACTTGTTATAATTTGGATTTCAACACCATTTTCTCTTTCCCCCTATCTAACACGGCGTCACATTAAGTTACACTTTTGAATAATAGCTCATTACAAAGAGGATAAAATGATGAACATTTCTCGCTAACAATATGCAGGTCCGAGTTATGGTTTCTGAGATATTTCAACCCACATTTTCACTAAAACTCTCATTTGGTTTTCGACAGTATTTTTTCTCTTTTTCCTTCTCTAACACGGCGTCGCGTTAAGATAAAATTTTGAATAATAGCTCATAAAAAAGAGGATGAAAAGATGAATAATATCCAGATCCGATTTTTAATTTTTGAGATATTTTAATCCATATTCAAAAACACTTCAATTAGTCGACTCCAGCCGACTTAACTCGAGCAATACATATCGGAAATCTGACGACTCATTCTAATTCGCTCTCCACAAAAAGTTGCTAAACGCGCCTAAAGAAGTTTTCACTTAAAAAATGTATAGATTGCGATAAGGTGAAACCATTCACGAATTTTTAGGCAGATGTTAATAATTAATAAATTTAAAAAAAAGGCTTATTTAAATTTAATAAAAATAGGCTCTACTTATACTAGTGATGGGCAAAATTGTTTATCATGAGTAGCCGTTGCAACAGTTTCTGCTACTTTCAAAAACAGTTTAAAAAAACAAAAAACTAGTGTTTAAAAATTTGATGAGACAAAAACAACAACAAAATATTTTCTACTGTTATCTTTAAACTATTTTAAAATATATGAATATAACTTTTTACCTCCAAATTAATTGTTAGATTTAAAATATAATAAGTAAAGTTATTGATGGAAATAGTATTTAGATATGGGAATGAATTGATAAAACTGTTCATTAAACAGAAACTGCATAGCTCTTTATAAGTTGCAACAGTTTGATGGTCTGTGTTTTATTGAAACAACTATCAAAGCAGTTTAAAGTACAGTAGAGCCGTTTAATCTGTTTCAAAGGACTATCTGTATCTATTGCAGAAAGGTGTTTAAGTTAAAGATCTTTCAGTATCTGTTTCAGAAAACTGTTTACGTACCTGTTGCAAGAAGCTATTTAATGAAACAGGTTTCTGTATCTTTTTAATTAAACAGCTTCTGTTTTGGAAAGCTGTTTAATTAAACAGATGTGTTTCCCTTTTTCCCGTCGGTATCGCTGTTTCCACCTACTAAACCTATACTGTGAGATAGCTTGGGTAAGTTTCTAAACTCATCGATGGCATCGTTTTGCTCAGTTTAGAGATATATTCGATGCCATCGATGAGTTCAGCGCTGATTGTAAGAATCTGCCTAATGGAAGATATTCCTTTTATCTGTTTAATCTCGAGTGAAACAGTTTAATATATTTGATTAATAAAAGTAACTAGCCACAGGCGAATCTAAGGGGGAGCTTTCGGGCTGAAGCCTCCAAAATGGTAAAATATAACCACGTTTTATGAAAAAAATTATCTCTAATAGTATTATTGTTCGTCTAATTATGTTTAATAGGACTTAAAGAATCAGTTAAACACCATTTCATATAGGTAGTTAGTTTTTTTTTTTTTTCCGAAAGTAATTATCCTAATATAAACAAAAAAAAAAATATTTCGGACTGGACCCTTCCAACCAAATTTAAATCCTGGCCGTTTCAATTTAAATTCGTAAGTGGCCACCACTTGTCTATACCGCGGACTATTTTATTATTTAGACAAGTCACACCACCTTGAGGCAGGACAGGAACTAAGATTTTTTGCTATAAGTGACAAGATATTATGTAATATATTTCGACATCATCATTTCATCACCTTAATTAATTTCAATGACAGAGTTAAATTAAAAAGAATCACAAATCTGAATAAAATATTTTTACTAAAGCTAAATAAATCGATTTCGCACAAAATTATTCCTTTAACCTCTATTTCCGAGCCTACCTTCAGGTGTTTATTTGTGCTCCACAGTTCTGGTTCGGTCCTTGGACCAGCTGGTTTGGGTTGAGGACCTCCGTTTAACTGTGCTCTCTTGTCTTGGCACAGAGTGTTGGCACAGGACGGCCTCTCACGGTTACCTTGGTCTTGCAAGGGTAGCGTCAAAACAATCTCCAATACCCGTAGAATAAAATGGAATATAACTCTTAGCTAAACGACTTTAACATTATTAGGAGAGGGAAAGAAAAGGATGGCGGAAAGAAAGAAGTATTCATATCAGAAGAAGAAAAGTAAATTTTATTCTGAGACATTTAGTACCCTAATAATATTAAAACGAACAATAGGAATATTATCATATTGTTTAATTAGCATTTATATTTATGCCTGTGTTTTTTTAAAAATTTGTTTATCTTTAAGTTATTCTATTTTTATTTATTGTATATACTTTTTGATTATCATTTGAGCCTTTTGAAATAGAAAATAACTTTATTCTGGGACAAAGTCCCTTTAGAATAACAAAATAGAACATAATTAAAAGACTACATCTGGCCAAAATAAAACAATAATAAAAAAAGAGAAAGTAAAGAAAATATTAGTTAAACAAGCGATATAAACAAAAAAAAAATCTATATACAAAACACTCAAAACTATGATAAAACACTTAAAACTATGTACAGTAGGAAAAATTATAATCATACACTTTTGAAAAATAAAATAATAAAAAATACATTGAGTTATTCTTTAAAATGAGTTTCTGCTACCAAAGG